TAATATTGCTATATGCCACATTTTACCTACCATTCATTGGTTGATAGAAATTTAGTTCATTTCCACTTTTTTACTACTGAAAGTAATGCTGCTCTAAGCATCCATGTAATTTTGTTTTGTATAAATATCTTCCTACTTCTCTTGGATGTGCAGTGTAATTAGAAGTAGAATTACTTCTAGTTTTCCTAAGTGGCTGGACCATTTTACATTGTTAGTAGCCATATGGGAGGGTTCTAATGTCTCCATATCCTTATCAATAACTACCATTTTACTTTTCAATTTTATTTTCATTTGGCCATACTAATAAGAATGAGGTAATCACTAAGCGGTTTTGATTTGCTATTCTATGATGGCTAATGATGTTAGGCATATATTTATGTACTTACTGGTCGTTTGTATATCTTCTTTAGCGATATGTCCCTGTAGATCCTTTGCTTAACAATATTTAAACTGCTTCTAGTGCAGTGATTGATATGAAGAGATGCCAATGCCACACACACTCATCTCTCTAAGGTGCTGGTTGTCATTGTAGCTGATAATCTATTTTTCTTAGTAGATTTCATTTTTATATTTAGAGTAATTTTAATGTTATAAAAAATTGAGCATACAGTACAGAGAATGGCCATGTAGCTTGTGCTCCCCCCCCACTACACACAACCACATACTCTACACACAAGCACACACATGAAGGCATACTCAATTTCCCACATTGTTACTATCTTACCTTGGTTTGATGTGTTTGTTACAGTTGATAAACCAACCATTGATATATTATTATATTAGTAAAGTCTATAGGGCACATTATGGCACACTCTTTGCATTATATAGTTGTATGGACTTTGAAAGGTTTATAATACTGTCTGTAGGTACAGTAGCATATTGAGCAAATGTATCACCCTAAATACCACTCATACTCCACATATTCATTCCTCTATCTCTTTATTTCTTCCTTTCAGAAATCCTAGAAACGTCTGCACCATTTACTCCCTATGCATGGTTTTGCTTTTTCTAGGATGTCGTAGAGTCCTAGTCATGGTTCACATTCTTTTTTTATTCAGTTATAGATATTTGGCTTATTACAACAACATTTATAAATTTCCACCTGTTCACTACAATCCTTCCTTTTTACTAAATTTCCCTCTTTCTGAAGCACATAATTCAATATTTATTTAGTGAGAGTCTCTAAGGATTAACTTTTCAGATAGTCATTCTCCTAAACTTTCCACTATTCACCATCAGCCTTGAGTGATTGGTTTGTCACTACATAATTCTCTTTTTCAGTTATTACATTTCCTCAGTTGTTTGAAGTGATTATCCTACTGCCCTGGAACATAATATTTTAAAAATATGTGGAGTTTGGCCTCAAATCCCGTAACTTGCTACCTGCTGGTACATATTCAGTGTTCTACACCCCCCTGAAACGCCCAATCACGTTTCTGTTTCTTGTGAACGTCATTTAGAGACGTCATTTATATGTCGTTGAAGTCACTTGTCTGTAAATAGATTCAGTATTCTCTTTTACAAGCTACTGAAATATTTAAAAAATATTTAATAATTGCAGGCAAGAGTTCTATTGAACCATGCCAGTTAGATGCGTTCCCCTTCATAGTATCCAAGTCTAGTCAACGACAGACAAGTAAGAAATGAATAAAAGATGCTAATAACTTTATCTTTAAAGCATCCTTTGCACTGTAATAGTATCTAATATTTTTTGAGACCAAAAGTCAGATGAAGATCTTTGTCATATCAATGATTTATCCAACTTTCACACCCATAGCAGCCACTGAAAATTAGTTTCATTAACTCTGTGACACTAACCAGAATTTAAATGAGGTAATGTGTTTTTCCACCAAATAATGAACATGAATAATAAACTGCTGCAATTAAACCATCATTAACTTCTCTTAAAAACAAAATGATGGGGGTAGAGAGATGGCTCAGTGGTTAAGAGCACTGACTGCTCTTGCAGAGGACCTGGGTTCAATTCCCAGCATCCACATGGTGGCTACAAACCATCCTTAACTCCAGTTCCAGGGGAATCCTAAGCCCTCTTCTGACCTCCGTGGCACTGCATGACACAGATGCACTCACATACATGCAGGCAATACATTCATACACATAAATAAAAATAATAAAGAAAATATTTTTAAAAAACCAAAATGATAATTAACTTAAATGTCTGCAAAGGTAAGATACAAATTTATCGATAATTTTGTGCAATAACACATATTTTATTCCATAGTATATGTTAGTTTAACAGCTGCCATCATTATTTTTTTCCAAATTAAAAAGACTTCCTCCAGTTCTAATACTAATGAGTTAAATAGCTCAGTGGTTTTCAAGTTATCTTTCCTTTTGCCTTTATTAAGAAACTAAAGACCACACATTCTTTACTTTCTGTATTCACTCTGTCATAGTATGCGCTATCTGGCTATATAGCAGTAGTCCAATAAGGAGCTTGTGTTAGTCAACTTCTTGACACAATTTTAAAACAAGGGAGATTTGTTTGGGCTCACAGTTTATGAGCTTTCAGTGATAGTAGGCTGCTGCATTGTTTTTGGCCTGAGGTGAGGAAGAATACTATGCCATCAGGGGTATGTGACAGACACTGATTCAGTAATTAACTATGGTAGATTTTGCTTATAGAAGCACATTTATAACTCAAAATGTAGTATACTGGTCATTCAGTTAAAAGCACTGCATTTATTTAGGGCAATTTTGTTATCAAGCACAATCTTCTAAAAGAGAAACGCTACTTCCCTGGAGCAAAGTTGAATTAAAATTTTTATGTATTTTCCCAACTAGAGTCCCAGCTTTAAAAATCTTTACTTTCAGTATACCAATGATTAATGTACATAAAAATATAATACATTGTAGCCATCACCCAACATTAATCAGTCACAGAATAAAATTGTTAATAATTTTGTATCAAGAAAGTCTTCTTTTTATAAATTTTAACATCTTAAACTCTCTTAGTTGTTGCCTCTTGTATTAGGTATGCTTTGCTTTGGTGAGTTGTAGCCCTCACTCTTCTCTGATTTCAAAGAATAGAAAATAGGTTTAGTCCCTTGAAATTTAGTCACTCTAGGAGAAACAACCAAGCAAATGCCTCTTTAGTTTTTCAAATACTGGATTTGCTCTGAGACAATGTGTTTGTAATGGGTAGAGGGAAAGATTTTAATGAAGACTGACCTCCACTGTCCCTTCCTAAATACAGATATGATGAAATGATTCTTCTCCTAAAACATAAGGTTCTAGAGAACTGGAGAAACAAATCTAGGCAAGAATGATGAACATGCAGACAATTTTTGAGCAGAGAGAAGTTAAATATAAAACATGGATGTTGTGAGAATATACTGCATATCTTAAGACATAAGGAAACCTATCAGTAATTGCAAAACAAATGAAATCTTCTAGAAACCCTAAAGGATAAATTGAGATGTGTAAGTCAGGGGAATGGGGGGAGGGGTGGGATGATTCATTATATGCATAAAAAACTGCCAAACAATAAAAAGTGTTTTTAAAGGAGTGTATGAAATTTTCAAATAAAAAAGAGATCATTATTAACGATACATTGAGATGCAAAGCACAGTTCCAACTCCACCATCTTGATTAGCTGCTTGGAAATTATCATGTAGAGCTTGGAAGGGGATGTTTGCAGGGTGAGAATGTCTTAAGAAGGTCTGAGGATTCTAAGAAAAATGTAGATTTATACTTGAAAGGATAAGAAAGGAGGGAAAGGAGAATATTACCCTAACCTCCCAGGGGTAAAGAGTCAAAATTTGACCTGCTGAAATGCTCACAATAATCTTACTGGTACTTTCTTTCCATTTTGTTGAAACTTTAAAGCCATAAATTTGTTTATGGTGTTATATAATCCGATCTCTATTCCTGTTTCATGCCTTTGCCTCTTTACCTCCTCATAAACGATTTTCCTTTTAGGAAGCTCCGAAATGGCTTTTAAAAGAATGGCAGTGGGAACCATGTATTGTAAGGCTCAGGTGACTGACAAAACATTCTTTTAATGTAATCAGCTCCCTCTCTGAACTAGGCAGAACAGTTTGAAGAAAAGAGGAGACAGGAAGGCAGTCATCTGGAATAGATGATTATACAGAGGGAGATGTACATTTCTTCCACCTCATTGCTTCTCACTACCAAATTGCTCCAGTTACACCAAATGAAAATTTATTTTAGCTTAATAAACTCCTCTATCCAAAGATCTCAAAACCTCTTGAAGTAGTCCCACCAATCACTCGTAGATAAGTTTTAATTTTTCTATCTTATCTGTAACCAGTTGAGATTTTAAGCAAAACTTTTACTAAGGAAGCACACCAAAGAAAACCAAACTCAGACCATGTTCTCTGGTTGAGTAGAGGCTCTATTATTCTTCAGCCTAACTCTTGCCAAATTTCTTCTACTCCAAGGAAGGAAAACAGAAGAGGAAGAGAAAAGAAGGGGAAAGTTGCATTTCAATGAGTGACTACTGACAAAAAGGGAGATTTCTTTTTATTTGGCCCAGCTCCTTGTCAATCTTGTCAAGAAATTCAAATTCTAGAATGCAGTAAATATGAGCAACTACACATGTGTAGTGCTCCAAAAATATGTCTGACAAAGATCTTTTGAATTATTTTAGAAAGATCATCTTGTAGGAACAGTATTCCTTAGAACACACACTGCACAATAAAACTCAGGTTGTGTGACTGATTGTATCTGGTTTAACATCAATTTATCAGCATATTTTTTTCCGTTTTGTGGTATTTCCATCATATTTGGAAGGAGGTGTCTAGAGATGAACTATAAACACAAATGATGTGAATTAACTAAATCTACTGTCCTTCATTATTTGGTCTTATATTATCAACATTCAACTCAGAGGCTAAGCATCTCAATTATTTTTCTGGACCAGTGCATTAGAGAGTGTCGCTGACTAGATTATATTCCAAGCCAACTTATTTTTCCCTTTATTTTATCAATTCATAGGAAATGACATCCTTACTTACCATTACCCAGTTCCCAAGAAATGTTGTACTTTTTGCTCGCACTGTACTTCAACAGACTCAGGGCACTAGAACTGTTCCAGGAGTTATTGGGATTACGACGCAGTGCATTTAGAGCAAATATCAGGTGGAGTCCAGAGCAATCAGCAAAGTTATAAAGTTTGTCTAGAGACCTGGCTGGGAAGAAGCAGAGAAAGGCTTATAACTTTCAAATCAACATTTCAACAGAAGGAAAATATTAGCTTCCACACACTGCCTTTCCTGCTAGTAAGGAGCTACAAGGAGAGGCTTCTGAAAAAGACTATCGCGTTTAATCTGGGACACATTCTCAACTGATTTTAGAAAACAGTACATAGATTTTTAGGCAGAAGTTGCAAACTGGCAACCAAGTTTAGACCACAGTGTATTTTGCTTGTTGACCAAAGATGGAATTGCCAATGTTTCAAAAGAGGAAGATTTCACAAATTAGCTGGATTTCTAATTTTGGGGGTCGGGGGGAAGAGAAGATCTATTACTCTTGAGTCTATTTTCCTGCTTGACAAGAATAGTGAGTGTCAAGTTACAGGGCAACAAAAGACTAGCTGGTGAGGTCTTAGAAAGAAACTCAGCCTACCAAGAGTTCCAAAGCATTTCACTCAAGTTCACATCACTAATATTTCTGAGAATGGAAATGCCATGAACATTCTGGAAATGTGTTCTCTCCCAGGTTAATCCCAGGCACTACCGGCTCCCAACCACATAGCTCAGATCCACCCCGTCCTCACTTCCCCTGCCTCCATTCTTGTCTGTCTCTGTTTCCGTTTCCATGAAGCACTGCATTGCCTGCACTTGCCCATATACTTCTAGAGTCTCTCCGTCCTGCCAGGTCGTTTCCTGTCTCATTGTCATCAGCTGCAGTCACTCCTGTAAACCTCTATGAGTTTTTAAGACATATTTCTTCCTTAGTTCAAGAAAGCCTCTATAATTCATGCACAGCCTGCTGCCCCCAGCCTTAGGATTTTCTATTTCAAAGACCTCTTTGTTGATGTCAGTTTAATGTACCGACTACAGAAGTATCTGCTCAGCAGACCTCTGCTGTAATTTTTCTCACATGGCACACCTTTCCTTGTCTTTTAAACTTATTCAGATTTGACCTGTCCTTTCAGCCAGTGGTTCCTACAGTATGGATACACAACTTTCAGCGATTTGTAGTTTTAAAAAGTATTTTAGGTTGAGAATTAGTCACGGGGGTCCAAATTATCCTAACAATAAGCTCAAAGTTAGAGGGCATTTATTCATTACTTGATTCCCTAAACCAGAATTTCTCAAATAAGGCTCTGGGATTCTACAAGAGGTCAGAAGGGTTCTGTAAGAGAGATAATGTAGAAGTAAAGGTAAGGAAGGAACCTGAGTGAAGAACAGTAGGAGACAGGTGTTACTAAGGGAGAAATGTATAAAATGGGGAATTTAAGTGGGAGTGGGGAGGGAGTGCTATGTAAAGAACTTTGGGGATAAAGGGAAAGAAGGAGCTCAAGAGAGGTTGGACCATAGGAAATCGGTATTACCAAGGAAGAAATGGGGAAAATGGGGAGACTTTAAATGGGGAAGCCATGGTGGAAGGGTCAGACAGGGAGAGAGAGAGGAGGGATAAATAATGCCTAGCTAGTGTAAAAACAAAACAAAACAAAACAAAAATCCCAGAGGGAATCATATTAGTCAACAACCTAATGACAAATTACACATACAGTATCTCTACATGAGTCCATGTGTAGAGCTAAAGGCTACATAACAAGAAACAGTGCCAGACAGGAGAACTTTCCTTTGAGTTGTTGGCCACGGTAGTCCAAGAGACTCCCCAAATTACTCAGGCTATTGCCACAACCTTGATGGCCTCCTAGAACCTGAAGGTAAGACCCTACTGCTGAAGACAGAACATACACAGACACAAGATTCGGAGCAATGGACCTGGAACTGACCTGGAAGCCACTTCCCCTGAAGGCAGCTCTTATGGCATTGGTGAGCACTACGCAAGGCGCTAAGAGAGAACATCTAACCGATGGTTCAACACTAGCTTCAAGTCCAAATAACCACATTAATGACCAGCACAGCATCAGAAACTGGTGCAGTAGTGACACTTGTATCTTGGGGGCAATAACAGCTGCCTAAAAGCCTACTCAATGGGAGAAAACTCATGTGTGGTACTGTAAACATAGTCAAATAGACATGGTTGGAGAGGTCAAAGATCTTAGAGAAAACCCCAAGACTGTCACATCTCTAGACTAATGTAATTTCTTATTACATGCAAAATATGTATCCTTATATTTATAAAGATCCCAGTTACTACTTATCAAAGAAGCTTCTTTTGCACCAGATGAAGACTGTTACAGAGTTCCACAACTGGCCACACGCAGACATTATCTGTGAATTACCTAAGTCTGAGTGGCACATCTACAATGCAACCTCTACACCTAAGGCTCACAGAACATAGAACAAGGGGTAAAGAGGTCACTAATGAGTATCTCAGTTCTCATTAATGAAGCTCTCTCATGCATTTGAGGGCCAGGAACACAAATAGTCACAAATGGCCAAAGCACAGAGATTAAGAGTCCACAGAATGCCGGTTCTATATTAAACTTCACCCACCCAGGGTTTAGGGACCATTGCAGAAGTGGGGGTGGAAAGATTGTAAGAGCCAGGGAGGAGGTGCATGACCATATAGAAACAGAGTACTACAAGCTTCTGAGACCCTGCTCAGATGAACCTACAGCAATGGTGTCAGCATACACAAGACCCACGCAAACTCAAGCAGACAAAAACCAAGCATAGAACTGGAAAAATGGACAGCTCACCCCAATCTTAGCTGAAGAATTATTGGCAGCTGATTACTGCTGGCTGAGGAAGAACTGATCTTCCTAAAGTGAGGGACTCTAGACAGACTGACTAGACCTCAGTGGATGGACTTGCACTGAGGAACATCTGGGGACCCTAACTTGACAGAAGCCTTAACACAAATGACAGAATATATGAATTCCAGTGAGGGGGATATGGGAGGGTGCCAGTGGTGAAGGGGGTATAAAGATGATTAAGATTGAGATGTTCTATATGAAATATGCAAAACTTCAATGAAAAAGAGATAATGTAGAGTCCCAAAAGTTCCCATTAGCAACATTGCTAACAGAGGTCTTTTAGTTCTTCAAAATGGAACCACAGTTACTGGAGTGAGTTCACTATCAATTTCTGAAGGAGGTTGTCAAAGCTATCATTTGGATTATTCTCAAATCATTTGGATCATTCTTTTTTACTTTTTTATTTAATTTTTTGTAAATTTTTTGTTGAATTTTTGCGCATTTCATACAGAACACCTTCGTCATCTTTACGCCCCTCCCCATGGCACCCTCCCGTAGCCCCATGCTGAATTATTTTTTTAATGTTTTATTTATTATTTGTATTTTATGTGAATGAATATAATGTCTCCATGTGTGTAAGTGTACCCATGTCATGCAATGGCCTCAGAGGTCAGAAGAGGGCATCGGATTCCCTTGGAACTGGAGCTACAGATGATTCTTAGCCACCATGTTGGTGCTGGGACTCAAACCTCAGCAAGAGCAACTAGTATTCTTAACTACTGAGTCAACTCTCCAGTCCCCATTTTGATCATTCTTACATATGTAAGAAAGCAACTTTTAAGAAGCATTAAGGACAGTGGGGCCTGAAGAGATGGCTCAGCAGTTAAGAGTACTAGCAGCTCCTGCAGAGGACCTGGGTTTGATTCCAGTACCCACATGGTAGTTAACAATGGTCTGTAACTCCAGTTCCAGGTGATCCGATGCCCTCTTCTGACCTTTGTGGGCATTACACAGCATGGATGAACTTAGGCAGGCAATACAGTCATACACAGAAAACAAAATTAATAAATAAAATATTTTTTAAAAGAACAGTTTTTTTTTTTTTTTTCCATTTCAAGTGAGCTATCTCACATATTGCCTAGACTTGACTATCTGGGCAGCACCATCATAGGACAGAGATTTTATCTTAAAAAGATGATCCTCTTTAGCTTTAGTTCAAAAACATCCATTTAAAATGCATTATGAAAGTGATTATAAACCAACATGTACGTAATTATAAAATAATGTTTTAAAATTACATATTTTATAGTTATGTACATGTCATTCAGAAGTAAAATGGCAGTTTTTAAAACTCATAGAAAATTATATCTTAGACTATAATTTATTTATAAAATGTTAATGTATATTTTAGTTGCTTTATTTTCAACATTACTGATTAACACAGAAACCCACAATTGGCCAATGTGCAGAGAACAAGAGAGTACTTATCTCTGAATAGGACAGCTATTTTAAACCTCTGCCTTCCAAGGCTCAGGGATCATTGTTGAAGAGGAAGTGGAAAACTTGTTAGAGTCAGAGGGGGTGACTACCGCAAGGAAACAGTCTTTCAGAGAGCTGGTCAGGCACTCATATGAACTCACAGTAATGGAGATAGCATCCACAAGTCCTATGCAAGTTCAAACCAGACAAAATTCCAGCATAGACATGGGGAATTGGCAAGAAATCCCGACCCAAGCAAAAGAACTTTTGGCAATTGATGGCTGCTAGGAGGAGGAAAGACAGTGTCTCATAGAGATCAGACTCTTGGTGGGTCCAATGAATGGACCCACTCTGAAAGATAGTTAGGGACACAAATCAGACTCTATAGGCCATATTATATACACAAGAGAGTATATTAAAAAGGGTGGGGGGCATGGGGGGAGGTATGGATGGGGAGGAGATCTAAATACCATCAAACTATAGTGTATGAAAATCACAAAAATTCAATAAAAAATAAGAGAAAAATAAATACTGAAGTAAATTAACAATCTTTATGTAAAATTAAATCTAGAAGGTCCACCTTAATAAAAATTTGCTTAAAACAATTATCCAGCAAAAACAAGCTATTTTGTCTTAAAAATAGTTCAAATCTACTAAGAAAGGAAAAATAAAGGGAGATAATTTCAAGAAAGAATATATGTATATGCCTAGGCATTTTATAAGAATGGACTTCTAAAAGGCTCTGTCTAGCAACCAACGAGGGGAGCAGAAAGGAACGGAAACAACCCTGACGTCCGTCAAGTCTTTGAAAACCACAGAGAAGAGAGCTGCAAGGCTGTGCTGCTCAGACCCTAGGTGTTAACACAGAGTAGC